CGTCCGATCGGACGCGTCCGGTCGGGGTTGGTACCTTACTGTAAACGACCGGACGCTGAGGGTCCAGCGTCCGGTCAGTTGAAGCTGCTGCGTCCGGTCTGAAGATGACCATTGAGATCAGAAGAAAGCCGTTGAACGCAGGTGACACGTGGCTGTCATCGGGCGACCGGACGCTGAGGTCCAGCGTCCGGTCAACACGACCGGAGCGTCCGGTTGACCCGATAGTTGCCCAGTGAAGGGGTAACGGCTAGTTTAGCCTTTGGGGCTATAAATAGAAGTGGCCTTCGGCCATGGCTAGGGTTGAGCACCTGAGGGGACTTAGTGTCCATGCTTGTGAGTGCTTGGGAGCCCTCCATCACACATATACTTGATAGTGATCATTCGATTGTGTGAGTGAGCGATTCTAGTGCGATTGCATCGTGAGGTTGCATCGAGTGGCACTAGGTGATCGAGTTGCAAGTCGGTGGTGCTTGTTACTCTTGGAGGTTGCCACCTCCTAGGCAACAGTGGTGGTCTCCGTCCGAAGCCCCGCAAGAAGCTTGTGCGGGGCTCCGGAGAAGAGCTTTGTGAGGGCATTGTGCTCGCCCATGCATGAGCCGATGAAGAGCAACTTTAGTAAAGCGTGTCATTGAGCTACCCTCACTCAAGGGGTAGGTTCTTGCTTGCCCGACGCAATGCGGGCTTAGCGGCGGGTGATGCTAATTAGCCGCCGAACCACCAAGTGAGTGGTCGACTGCTTGGGGACTAAGCGTGTTGGCAAACACGTGAACCTCGGGAGAAAAATCATCGTGTCAACCTTGTTCTTCCCGTTGGTTTGCTTCCCCATTACACAAGCTTGCATTTACTTTCATATATATTAAGCTTGTGTAGTTGCTCTTGTAATTAGTTTGCTTGTGTAGCATATTAGTTACCTTCTTGCTTGTGTAGCATAGAAGTAGCTAGCTCCTTAATGTAGCTAATTTGGTTTGAGTAACCTTGTTAGTCACATTGCTTAGTTTGTGTAGCTAAGCATTTGCGCTCTCTAATTTGGCATTGGTTGCCTTGTTATTGAGCATTGCTAGTGAGCTTAGGTGGCTTTGTGCTTTTGCTTACTAGCATGTGTAGGAGCTCCCTTGTCGCTTAAAGTACTAGTGGCATAGGTTTGTGTGACCTTGCTCCTAGAATTGTTTAGGTGAGCTCTAGCTAGCCCGACACCTTAATTGCTTAATTAGTATATTTGAAAGGTGCTAAAGAACATAGATAGAGGGGTGTAGTCTTGGCTAGACCGATAGTTTTAATTCCGCACTTGTTTCGGTTAGCCGACGCGATTAAGTTTTAAAAATGACTATTCACCCCCCCCTCTAGTCGCCATCTCGACCTTACAGTGTTCCATTCCGTCCCGACGGACATCGTGATGAACTGACGCGCCTGTCAGCGTTCGTACGATGGTTAGACAGAACAGCACCGGCACGCCCGACGCTGTTCTTGATGTGAACCCTCAGGTATGGCCCATCATGGCCACGGGTTACATCGAGTCATGTCAGTCTCTTCCCCAGTGTCAGAGCTTTGACCCAGACCCATACGCTTGGACCTGGAGTGGTTGGTGGCGGTATGAGTCCCCGTCGGGTGAGACGGAGCACGAACCCAAGGGGTTGTGCGAGATGGAGCCCGTGGCCTCGGGGTCAGGCGAGGTGGAGCCCCCCCAGAGGTCGGGCGAGATGGAGCCCGTGGCCTCGGGGTCGGGCGAGGCGGAGCCCCCAGTCAGGTCGAGCGAGGCGGAGATCGCGGCCTCGAGGTCAGCGAGACGAGGAGCCCGCGGCCTCGGGTCAGGCGGTGGAGCCCGCCCAGAGGTCGAGCGAGGCGGAGCCCATGGCCTCGTGGTCGGGCGGGCGGAGGAACCCGCCCCAAGAGGTCGGGAGGCAGAGGCACTGCGCCTCGGGGTTGGGCGAGACAAGCCCGCACCTAAGGGGTCAGGCGAGACAGAGCCCGCACACACTGGGGTCGATTGGAGTTATAGTCACGCTCTTGGTTGCTCGGATGAATCAATGTTGATGACCATTAGCTCCTCCTCTTTGGGTACCCTAGTATTGGTCCCCGACACACTTCAAGTTATTTTAAAGAAGTTGGTCTCAGTTTTATTTACAGGCATAAATCCAAAAGAAACAACTCATGTTGTTAATTAAATGCATATGCTCAATCACTCTACGTTGGGTTCTACTTGTGCAACTATGAAGGTGGTTTCCTAGCATGTACACTCACCATACATGGGTTTTGTTAGAAAAATTTTAAGTTCAGATTTTTGGTTCTTGGAAAACTTGGGTTGTTACATGTTGCTCATCTTACTTTTGTTGGTTGGGACGAATATCCTATAATTGTTTGGCTAGTGATTTTAGGGTGTCCGGTCCCCCTAAAAAGTTTTAGACAAGTTATATCGATATTTTTCTCGCTAGAGTTATGGTCATGAAGGGAGGAAGAGGGGGTGGGTGGGGGCAGCCATTGTATGTGGTGCACCCCCTAAGTTATATGGCTTTTAGGACCGGTTTCACTCATATATTGAATATTAATTCTATTCTTTTAATAACTAGTAAATATACCCATGTGTTGTAATCGTGTGCCGCCAATAGACAATAGTGGACGCAGCGTCCACTTGTTCATGACACATACTGGCACACCTAGTGTCCAATCCAGTTGATTACAATACGGACCGCCAAATTTGTAATGATGGTGAGGCGTCATCACCACCAGTCCCTTGCACTTCTGTTTGATTGTAAAGCCAGTGGGCATCACACCCATCTCACTCCAATGCAACTCAAGGCTCTACAACCTAGGCTCGAACCTCCTCTCCCTTTTGCCTTGTAACCCTTTGTTCCTCTTCCTCATGAAGCCAGAGTTGTAAACTAATTATGTTTTATGCAAGTTTCTATGATACAAATTCTCTTATGAGACCAAATAACCATTTGTTTGATCACACCGACGTCACCACTTTCTTCTAGTCTTTCTATTGGCGAGCATCAAGCCACAGGCCCCTAAAGGCCGAAGCACAACCTGCATGATATTAGCCCATGTCTGGTCCAATTGCTGCTGTCGTTTGGGGTTTAACAAGGGAAGCTTACCGAATTTGAGTACATACATGCTAAAATTGATTCCTGTGATAGCTAGTTGCTGATCTACATGGCATTGTCTTGGCTACGACGCTTTTCTTCCTGAATCCTGATGATGACTCAAGTGGCATTGCCCACCCTTGTCCTTGTCCGATTCTTTTGGCAATGGTGGACGAGGACGTGGGCTTTTAATATTAGACAGAGTAGATAGATATATACAGGTAGAAATAGAGATACTGTTACAAGCTGACAAAACAAAAGGCTTTCGCCGTCCCTTAAAAAAAATGCTCCTGCAGTTCTCGGACATAGCCATTAGAGCGTACTTCCTGCATACACACTTACAAAGAAACCAGAACCATAGACGTTGGGTAACTAGATGCCATAAGCTTCCTAAATCCTAACCAACAAGGTGCCCAAATAAGCTCCCAGTCATCCAATTTGCTGCAAACATGCATTTCATGGTATCCTTGACCAAGTCAAGACCTTAAGCACAGATTTCCTAAGAACACTAAGACATTTCTAGTGACATGCAACTTAAAGATACAGTAACAGAGGCTCCATTGGACCCCAAAAAAATCTCCATTAGACCAAATTCTTGTAACGTACTTGGTTTCTATAACTGATATTTGAAAGAAAGATAATCTGCTTATTTAACAACAGATCAATCCTTTGACTGCAAATCAAAACAGTGTATGATCTATGACAAGTTCTCAAGGTCAGGGACCAGAATAGGCAATACAACTTCATTCTTTCAGTGCAGATGGCTGTCCAGAAGACAGCCTCTCTGATCTCGCCTTGTTAGCCTTTTCCATGTAATCTTGGTGAGATTGATGCTTTGCCCCTACAACGAATAGATCGCACATTTAGGAACATACATTTATTTATTTGTGCCTGTAAGAAAAACTCAAAAGGAAACCGCCCACCCAATGAGGCAGCCATCTGACAGCAGCTAGATAGATGATACCATTTAGAAAAGTGCTTATTAGGTGTTTGTATCATTGGGATTTACCATGTCTTAATAACACGAGAACACCCTTCAAATAAATGTGGTGGCACTAATTTCAAAATTTATCTAGAAGTAAACTGTATCAGAAAGGAAAATAAGAAGACAGGAATAATCTGCAGTCATCACTACCTATACTAAGCACATCAGTTCTGATGTCAGTGTGGATCAGTCAGACCAGCCCACACAGCTGCCACATGTGCATGTGCATTTTAATGTCAGGAACAAAATAAGAGACAAGTTCCATGTAGAAATGTTGCTGCATTGGGATACATATGTATTACGAAAATTAGGTGAAATTTGCAAGACCAGTTAAAGATGGTTCACTGGAGTTAACTCAACAATGGAATGAAAAACTTCTCTTCAACACATCAACTCTGCTCCTCCCTCCCTCTCTCTCTTCCTCTCCTTGTGTTCTATTTGGTTGTGCATCTCTAATTTAAACACACTGCCATTTGGCTATTTTGGCTTCTTATTAAACTATGTCATTTGGACATCTCTTTCAAGCCATGCAGTTTGACCACAGTTATCCAGTTTTGAACTAATATACTCAACAATTTCACAGAATTAAGTTGACTAGAACATCATAGCAATGTGATCCTAACAAAAACCACTTTAATATTGGCATTGTCAAATATTTATGATATTTAATTTTCAAGTTGGCAGATGATTAAACTGAAGGCCCCTGACACTAGAAATTGTATGGCAGGGAGCTCTCAGACTCAAAATCCAATGGAAATATTAACCAATATATACTGAAAATCCTATGAGGACTACCGACTACCTAACCTGCAGTTGTACATATAAGTGCTCCCTCTGCTAAAAATATATCCCACTTCAGAATATATAAACAAAAATTGTACTTAACATGATGTTTAAAAAAATAATTCGATATGATCATACGTCTAAACATTTTACTAAGATCTAAACAAAAAGGTGAAGATCAGACTACCGGACCATCCATCTGATGTCCTAACATCCATTGTAGAATCAATGAAGTATTTCTTATTTGCTTTGCCTATACCATTTGATGCCAAATTAAAAGGAACATAAGCACAATGCAAGATATGTTTCTGTTTTGAGTTACAAATGTTTTTAGCACTTCACGATGTCAAGTATTGTTTCAGAATCCAAGCCAATAAACACAACTGTGCACTTTGTTTCAGATATGTAGCGGCAGTGGTTAAATTGAAACTGAAGTTCCATAACATGTAGAAACTGCAACGGTTGTGATAGCCAAGGTTAACAATCGCAAAGCATCAAAGTGACTTTTCTTGAAATCATCATAAGAACCATGCAAGGCTTAAGTCAGCCTCTGAAGACAATGTAATGTTTCATACAAGGAAGATAGGTTATGTCAATAAACCATTGACACAGTGTAATGTTCCCTTAGGGATGGACACTATCATACTAGATACTTCCATAAAGATATATAGATAAACCTTGCTAAAAAGTTTTATCAGAACAATTATATGCTTCCCCTAAGTTCACAGTCTCCAAAATTACCTTTCTGTTTATCATGATGGAAGAGGATGATATATGTCACATTATGCAGGAGTATAGTTTGCTGAACATGTTTGCTCTCCTACTAGATCAGTAGATTGTCCCATTATTAAGATAACAAAATCAATATATTTTCAACTGTTAGCAAACTATAACTTGAACAGGATAAGCATGCCAGAGACAGTAAAGGTACACCTTCACTACCCAACTTTGTTCAGTAAACGGTTGCATGTTCTGCTGCTTCACACTGGAGATAAATACATACTGTTCCCTAAGCTTACAACTTTGCATACCCACCATGAACTGTAGAATTTCGGAAACATGCACGCACACTGAATAAATCACTAGACCCTCAAGTACCTCAGTGGTCTGAAGAATTTGAACATGACATCGTTAACATGTTCCAAAGGAAATGCAATAACAACAATCAAACAAGCGCAGACTAATCCCTAGGTTGACTCCCCCACCCCCCACCCAAAAAAAAAATATCGATCTCCACCTACATGCCAAATGATATCACCTAAGGGAACAAAAACCATTGATCTTATTACCTCCTAGAATGGAGATCCATTTCATCAATCAGAGATCGGCCGAGAACAGCACAAATCAATATATGCCCAAAAAACCCAAACCCTAGTTCTCATGAATCCGCGCAGCGTCACATAGAAGCGCCAAACAGGATTTTAGCCGAAGATTTGAAGCAATTCACCGTAACACTTAGGGCGAATGGGCTAGAGCTACGGTTTTAGGGCGGTAGGGGAAAAGGGTTTGACTTGATTCAGTACCTCGGGTCATGAAGTACCATGGGACGCCGAACGCGGCGGCGAAGATGGCGATGCCGGCGAGGACGTGCTTCTTCTCGCCACTGTAAAGGTAGTGCTCCATCCGCGCGCGGAAACCGCCGCCGCCGGCATTCGTGGCCTCTCCGCCCATCGCAGACGCCGCCGCTTAGGTGCTGTGCTAATTCGCTGGTGCGTGCGGCGTACTAGAGTGCTCCGTGTGACTATGCCCGTGATCGGTTGGGCGAACCGGACCGTCATTTGGCCATCCCGCATCCTGTACGTTCGCATGTGTGTTTAGTTGTCCTGCTTTATCTTTGTTCTGCTTCCTCCCGTGCAGATTTGCTCGTTTATTTCGAACGACGTTGTTTTCTCGATCTTCACTTCCTTCTCGGTATAGGCTCGCTCGCTCTTTAACGAAAACCTTCGCACCGAGTGTGGGAGATGAGACCGTCTAGGCCATAAAACACGCGCGGGTCTCGGCTAAGGTTACCGCTCTTAGTCTTCTCCTCTCTTTCCGCCATAGCTCCGGTGCGAACTCCCGTCTTGCTCCCCCTTGACCTCAGTAGCCCTACCGAGGCGACCCTCGTCGGCAGATTTCTCTCTATCCTCCGGCGCTTGGACGGTATATATGCCACCTGCGTTCTTTCCCTCCTCTTTCTTCAATGTCGATTTTGTTGATTTATTGGTGGATTTTGCTTGAAATGCCAAGAAATTATGGTTCTTGGTTTGACATCATCAGATCTCTACGATGCTATACCTGATTTATCTGTTTCTAGCTCAGATCTGTACATGATGCTTCGTATTTGATTTATACTTCCTCCATCCCAAATTGTAAGTCATTCCAAGAATCTTGGAGAGTCAAAGTTTTTCAAGTTTGACCAAATTTATATAACAAAATAATAATATTTATCATACCAAGTAAGTATCATTAGATTCTTCATTAGTTATATTTTTATATTATACCTATTTGATGTCATCAATCTTTGTGTTTCTCTCTATAATTTTAGTCAAACTTGAAAAAGTTTGACTCTCCAGGATTCTTGGAATGACTTACAATTTGGGATGGAGGGAGTACCTCATTTTTGTGTAGATCTTGCACATGCTGATGCCTATTTTGTTGTACAAACTGAGCAAAGTGCCTAGAGCTCAATGATGTTGATTGTGTAACAGTATACGTTGGAGGAGCACCCTTTGGTGTGGCAGTCGCGTCTTTCATAGTTCATTTTGTGTGATTTTTTGCTTGCTAAGCAGTACACATCCATGTTGCATGCTTCCTTTCTAATGTTGTTCTCCATCCTGTTGGTAGACATGGCATTTAAAGCTAGGCGAAAGGCTGTCGCTACTGTGATTGTTGCAGTGGCTGCTTGGTTTTTCATGTGGTTTAGAAGGAGAGTTAAAGATTCGCGCTGAGTCACCTATGGTCCCTTGGCTGAGAGGGACAAACAGAGGATGAACAACCTTAGATACATCTATGAATCTGATGATGTGTACTGTGTCAACCTTCTTAGAATGAGGAGGGACCATTTTTTCCAACTTTGTGACCTTTTCCGTAGTAAAGAGCTTGTCACTAACAGCATACATGCACCTGTTGAAGAACAAGTAGCCATGTTCTTGCATGTTGTTGGTCACAATGAGAGGTTTAGGGTGGTTGACCTTACCTTTAAGAGGTCCGCAGAGACAATTAGTGGGTTCTTCCAGAAGATATTATATGCGGTAGGAGAGCTGAGGAATGAATTGATTGTCCCTCCTGCTACTAATGTCCATCCTAAGATACTTGGGAGCAGAAGGTGGTACCCCTATTTCAAAGTTGGTATCCATAACTAGTCATACATAGGTCTCATGCATATCAGTTTAGTGTCAATGTTCACTTGCACTTATGTTTTTTTTTCAATTAGGACTGCATAGGAGCAATTGATGGTACTCATGTATTAGCTAGAGTGCCTGTGAAGATACAGGCTGCCTTTAGAAGCAGGAAGCACACCATCACACAAAATGTGTTGGCAGCTGTGGACTTTGACCTCAGATTCACCTATGTGCTTGCTGGTTGGGAGGGATCTGCACATGATGCTCTTGAAAGAGATGATGGCCTTAGAGTGCCACCAGGTATCATCCAAACCAAAAAAAAACCTTTGACACTTTGCTTAATCCTGAATGAAACTACTAAAATATATTCCTATTTGCTAATTTTTGGGCAAATTCTATCTTGTCGATGCTGGCTATGCAGTGAGGCATGGTTTCTTGCCACCATTTCGTGTCACAAGGTACCATTTGAGGGAGTTTGGTTTAAACCGACCTCAAAATCAAAGAGAGCTTTTTAATCTAAGACATTCGTCTCTTAGAGTAACAGTTGAAAGGGCTTTTGGGGCTCTAAAGAATATATTCAGGATATTGGACAATAAACCTTTCCACCTATACAAAACCCAAGTTAAGCTTGTTCTTGCCTGTTGTATTTTTCACAATTGGATCCTCAGGCATAGGCATGACGAGCATGTGCCTGCTGAATCCACATGGACACCTAACATCAATGATAATGCCTCACAACCAGATCATGTCCCTGACAATGGTACCTGGGCACAACAGAGGGAGGCATGGGCTGCACAGATGTGGCAAACACAGAGGAAATTCTAGGATGTAGTGGCATGGTGTATGTACTATTTAGTAGCATTGGAGACATCCATGCCCAAGCAACAGCTGGACAATTCTGATGATCTGATGGCTGGGCTGGATGCCTCTCATGGTTTCATGCCTGTCATGATCTTGGTTTTCTACTATCTGTTTGAGGTTTGTTGCTGTCTAAGAGCTCCAAGTTCAAGGTCAAATGAAAAGGCAATTAAATCTGAGGCAAATCAATTGAACTACCCCTCATCTTATCAACATCTTATACTTGCTTTTATATGTTTTAAAGGGACAAATGGCTTGGTATGTTGTGTACCGTGGCAGAGTTCCTAGGGTATATGCAACCTGGGCTAGATGCAATGCCCAGGTAACTGGTTTTAAAAACAACAGCTACAAGAGTTTCCTTAACAAAGAAGAGGTAGAAGCATCATACTTAGAGTTCATGGGTTGTGAAGATGATAAAGTTTTTGTCAATCCTCCACCAAAGATGCTCAAGAACAAACCGATGTTATTTGTTGTGGCTGTGGTGCAGTCTTTTCCGTTGCTGGTGCTCCTGTGGTTCGTTCTTGCTCGTTGCTACAACTGTCTGTGATGCTCAAAATGCCATGGCTTGGTATGTTGCCTATCGGGGAAAGGAGCCTAGGGTCTATGCCCTAAAATGCCTCCTTGCAGTGCTTCGGGCAACAAATGAAGTCCTAAAATACCTTGGTTATTAGCTATTGCTTTAGTTTGATCGTTTATTTTGATGATGCTTGAGTTTTTCATTGCTAAGCATTGTTGTAGGTGCCTCTAATTATTTTATATTGCCTGTGATGGTTTCAAAATGTCATAAAAACGTGTGGAGACAATGACCTTGTGAGGAACTGTGACTTTTGGGCAACCAGTCACGCCCTTGTTCATGATTTACTGGGAGTACTATTGTCATGTTTATGTCATTAGAAGCTCTAAGGTCATTGTCAATGCCAAGCTTATTGAACTGAGGCAAAGTTATCTATGTTTCCTTCTATTCTTCTTCATTCTGCAATACCTGGTGGTAACCACACCAAAATGGTACACGGGTGCCCGCACCCCAGGCCGTGCGCCCAACCAAACACAAACGCTACCACCACTTCATACAGTAAAACGATCAATGGGGGTAACCAAACAGAATCATTGTCATCCAGGACAGCTAAGCTAAAGCAAACCAAACAAAGGTGGGTGAATGCTTTGATGTCGGCTCGGAAGAGCCTGGACAGGGCCACCATCCCGGACCGCCAACCTCGGAGCAACCAATCACGCCCTATGTCGCCTCGCTTGGTTCTCTTTTTCTTACCAGTTGTACCACTTACCAACCTATACCCGTCCTAAAATATAAATGATTTTCAGTCATTTTAGACGTAATCAAAATTGTATAAAAATAATAATATTTACATATGAAATGTACTTTTATAAATTATCTTTTTGATGTGATAATATGTTAGTACTCTCATGTAAAAATTTGGTGAAAATTAAAATAATTTGACTTGTAACAACTAAAATTCTCTTGTATTTTAGGGTGTAGAAAGTATTATACTTCATAGTCTCAAATATAACTATTAGGCTATGTACCTTTATCCTAAGTAATTTTGTTTTGTACAATTCAAAACAAATATTATATAAAATACAACTAATGTCATGTTAGCAGTTAGTACATGAACCCTTACGGAAGACTTATATATTAGGAGATATTAAATACAAATTATTAGTCAGAACAGTCTTAATGCAAATACACATGTTAGATTGTTGAAGAAAGAGTAATATGGTATTCATTAGGTTTGTCCTATTTCAAAATTATAAGATTACTTTAGGTTATCTAGAGAAGTTGGATGTCAAAAATGACATTTGTACAATAGTGGAGCTATTCCTACATACTAGCTATAGGAAATTGTTGAGCATCTCTATGCGCTAGCTATAACAAAATGTATCTAGACCAGATCGCTTATAGGCAGTTTAGGGGAAGATTGACCTGCTCTTTGCCTTTGGGTCCAAAACAGCACGAAGGCCATATATAGATATATAATTTACATTCAAAAGTCCAAGGTTCGCATATAAAATTTAAATAAACTACAAAATATAATTATATATTCTTTAAGGGTCACTTTGGAACATAGAAATTGTATAGAAATTTCACAAGAATCAATTTATTTTTCACTGAAAAAACATAGAAAATATTAAAAAATCCTTCGAAATGGGATAATGGATAAATTTGTGTATTGAACAAAATAATGGAATACAACTACTAGGGAAAATTCTTGCTAGTTTTTGCTTTTTAATTGCTACTCCCTTAGACTGTCACAAGACCGCCCAAGTGCTAAATGGACTTGTAAAAGCACTATGGCCCACAGTCCGGATGCCTTTCTGATCAAGATAGTGGACCAGTATTTGCTCTCACTCGCCTTGGTATAGCAGTCTCCAAATAAACTACCAACGGAAGTTGCCGCCGCCGCCATGGAGGTCGAGAGTGTGCCGCCATCTCCATCTGTCCAGGTGAGCGGCTCTTGATTCCTTGTAGCAACG